CCTTTTCCCGGTGTTACTATTAATAATAAAAATAGTATTAATAATAACCATTATTATTATTATTATTATTATTATTAATTATTGTTGTTGTTATTGTTGTTTACTGCTACCTGACAGCCCCTCACATGCCAGCACCCAAAGGCTGCGCAGATGCTGTGGTCTGCCCAGGCAGGAGAAGCCCTGGCCTCCCTTGTACATCTCCAGGGAGGGCAAAGCGAAGGAGTGAGAATAACCCTGGGATGGAGACTCACCGTTGTTGTCCTGGCAGGGCGATGTCCTCTCCAGCCTCACATGATGGTCAGCCCTTTGCAGAGGGTTGAAGGCCTGCACGCATTTGCTGCCTGACGTTTTGCTATAAAAGGACTCATTGTCCAAAGTTTCCATAACATGCTCCAAAGTGCCTCCTGCTCCCATGTAAAAGTCACTGTTCTTGCTCGGCTGGCTCTTCAGGGCAAACTTCTCGCTCAGAAAATCCATAATCATCTAAGGCTGCTTGAGAGCCTCTTCCCTAGACAGAGGCTGGACTGTGAGCAGGGGAGGGAGGGAGAGTGGGTGAGTGGATGGGAGGGAAGGAAGGAGGGAGGGAAAGACGTTTGGAGCTCAGGGAGCTGTTTTGCCTCTGAGCCTTTGATTTGTCTTGTCTTGAAAGGGGGAACCTGAAGTTGCTTTTATATCTTGAAGCTCAGCAGGGCTCCTTATGCAACCTCCCATTTCTAATGAATATGAAAATAGGCAAGCAGTGTAACTCCACCCCAGGTCCCCCAAGACCTAATCCCAACACAGGAGGGAGTTCCAGGCCCATTTTCGACAGACAGATCCGTTTCAGACAGACAGATGCACACAGGCGTGCGAGGAGTGTGAGGGGGCACAGGGTGGGAAGGAGGGAGGACAGATGAAGAGGACATTTCCCCTCTGCAACCTATTCACATTTCTCCAGGGATCCTGGAAAAAAAGTAATCCCTCGCTTCCCTCCCTCTCCCCCGAGCTCCCTGAGAGGCTTAGAGCAAGGTAATTTCAGGGGCACATACCCTGAAGTAAAGGATCTTCTTTAATCAATTTGACTGATACCTCAGTAGCTGCGGTCCTGTTCTCTGAAGCTGTAAAATTAAGAACCGGTGTTCCTTCTTTATTAAACAGCCCAGAAGCTTGGTCCTAGAGTTAAAGAGAGAAAGAAATATTACAGCCGGTTTTTTATGTGAAAATGGAAAATAGAGGAACTTAAAACGAGAAATCTCTCACATCAAAAACCAGCCTAAAAGAGAATTTGGCTGCTATCAAACAGACTTCCAGTCTGCCTGTGTGTGTGTGTGTGTGTCCGTGCACAAAGCAGTTAAAACAGGTCCTTTATTTTAAGTCTCCTGAAATATTATCACTACCAACTTGAAAAAAAAAAAATACAGTTTCTAAATGAAAGTACTAAACCAGAGTCTTAGGTAATACTAAGAAAAAGAAATGAGCAATATATGCATGCATTCCTATGGATATTGAAAAAACGAGTGGTTTTCACCCGAAGTGTGAGCTTTGAAGTGTTGAATTCCTTGGTCCTTTCGCACATAGACAGGACTGAAAACAGAGGCAAGAGACAGATAGGGAACTATTCAGAAAAGGCCCGAATTATGGAAAAGAGCTGCTCCCTGCTTCCCGGTGGAAGGGGGACTCGTTGGAGCAAAGTAAAACCGAGTCTGCAGTCACTTCAGATTAGTATTTCAGCATCGTGGGCCCGAGCTTGTCTGTTCTGTTAAGGCTATTTTAGAAATCAGTTGAGTGGGCCCTTCCCCCACGTGGGGGGAGAAGAAGTGAAGCTTTAATGAACGCTTGAAGCATAGGTGCAGTAATGGCCAGCCGGGGCTGCTGAGCGTCTTCGAGACCTTTCCCGTGAACCCAGCCAAAGGTGAAGAGAAGGCCAGCTCAGGTCCAGCGTCTTGCCCGTCGAGCAGCTCCCCTCCTGCTTCAGCTGGTCTCTAGTTTGGCATTTTCCCGCAGCGAGGGGTGGCTAAGTGAGGGATGCTCGTTTCGGCTACAGTCGAGCTCACCGGCACAGGCACCGCCCGCCCCTCCCTGCCGCCCCGCAGAGCC